CTTTTAGACTTTGATATGAAGTTTTCTCTATCAAACTCAGTAACTTCTTGTTACTTGATACTTTCTTCCAATACTGATATAATTCACAAAACAAAATTAACATGTTAAGCTGCTTATCCACTCAATATTGTCAAAAAAAAATGTGACAAGGGAGGGAATTTCTGATATTATGTCTTTATTTACATTTTGAAATGTCATTATTAGTGTGCCATGTCAATTTGAACGGAAATACTTGGTAAACATGTAGCAAAGAATGACAACTTTTTAAGGCATCTATTGTATAATACTATTTTGTCACTTAATGGTGATGTTGGTGGGATCTTAAGGAGAAGATTTACATTAATTGAGTTTCTCACTCCTTTTTCTAGATTTTGAGCTCTCTGAGGCCCAACTGAGGCATGCATATGCTGTTGAACGTCTAACGCCGAGACTAGCTGCTCTCAGATTTGAACTTTCTCCTGCTCATTTAAGTGAAGGCTTCTTTTGGATGGTCTATTTTGTTCTTCTTTACTCAAGACTGAAAAAGCAGGACGCTGGGATTTTGTCTACATCTCAGGTTTGTTAATATTGTGCTGCCTGCTTACAGAATCATCATTGAATTGTGTTACACAGTCATGATGAGAATATTTTTCCTTTTTTCGTGGGCAGAGGGAACTAATAATGGATTATCTGAAAGCAATTTCAGCGATACAACTTCTATATACAAGACCTTTGATTACATGAGCTGTCTAAGAACTAATTTTATTTTGTCATTTCTTTAGCTTGTAGAGGCAAGGGCTATGTGGATGCAAGAGCTGCAAAAGAAAACAAAACCAGAGTCAGATTGGTTTGGCATAGGCACATTTCAAGCAAAAGAGAGCCCATATTCACCACGTGGAGACTTTGAATCCAACTCATCTGAAGATGCTCACTCTAGATATTTTGTGCTCCCAAGAGCATTTGCTTTTGAACCTCCAAGTTGCCACACCACTTCTGACACTGAGACTGAGAAACACTCAATTGAAAATACAGAGATCCAATTTATTGACAAGGCAGTTATTGAAGAAGATGCTCCAAGCAAAATCATTGAAAAGGAGGTGGTAGCTGGTCCATCTTTTAAACCACCAATGTTTGATTATGATGAGCATGAGGATGACTGGCTGAAAGACAACTCAGAGTTAGAGGGTTACACGGGTTCTACTATTGTGAATGAGGAGGATGTTTCGTTTAGTGATCTTGAAGATGATACTGATTATACAATGCCTATAAAACCCAAATCAGTGTCAATAAATCATAGCACAACACTTGATGTCTCGTGAATTTATCTTTAGCTGCCAGGAGATTCTTATTTAACTTAGGAGTGAACCCAGCCGCTTGTCAACCTCTGAGTAATCTGGAGCTCCTAGCAAAAAATGCTTTACTCTCAATTTCTCCATGGTTCAGGCATGTTAGGCTGCATCGTAACCTGTTCTGGCTTGCAGAAGTTAGTACTTCATGATTGTGCAATGACCACTTCCCGTGGTTGTTACTAGTTGTCAGTCTCAGTGTTAAAGGTTGGTCATCTCAGATTCTCATCATCTCTTGAACCTCACAAATTCGATCACAAGATGCTTGCTTACTTGCACAGTATGGTGCAAGGCAATAAGCAACATTCATTTTATCCATCTCCTCCATTTTTTTGTGTGTTTTGAGGATCATGACCTAGGGAGGGCATGGTTGCTAATTCTCGAAACAGTGTTTGTATTTGTACATATACATGAATGACCGTGCCCTGTAACAAGGCAACGGATATAGTGGGGTGTCATATAAGGAAAAGTGTGACATCTCTCCCCTGTGAAAGGAATAATTTTTGCAATTGCACATTGAAGAATATCCCAATTTGGCATGTTCATCTTTCCTCAATCTTCTTGAAATGCATCTGTGATGTTATCATGCATCTGTAGGCCTCCTCTTCTTACTTACTATAAGGGTGTAACTGTGAGTGAGAAGAGAATGAAACCTTTTTCATGTCTCTGTTGCTTTTATCTATTATTCCTTCAAATTGGTAATACATAAGAATTACACGGTTTATCGGAAACAACTCCTTTTACCTTCACAAGGTAGGGGTACCCCTCTCTAGACCCCCCCCCCCCCCCCCCCCTTGTGGGGTGATGTTGTTTGTTATTGTAAGAATCACTGTTTGCATTTCATTATACTGAATGTTCTCAGTTCTCACTATCCAAAATTCCTTCTGTGATTTATACTTGTGATGCAAAGAATCGTCAACCAGAGCAAGTTTAAACTGAATCAAGCATACAAATTGTATTATACAATAGTGGTTACACAGATTCTGCATTGGAAAAACAGCATAGATTAATAGTAGTATTTGTTTCATAATTTTTTTCAAAATTTCAGGTTTATAGGTCTCGTAACGAGGATATGATATATACACAAAATTAGTGAAAATATATGCCATTTTCACTTTGGGTTTGAGAGCCATGTAATCGGTGACCATTCAACACCTTTTGGAGACATTTTTAGTTTGTAGTCTGTACTAGTGAATAGAAGCTCTCTCCTCCATCTCTCACCCCTCCTATCAAGCAAGAAGGAAGCAATTCTTTCAACAGTTGAGTCAGACTCTATTATTATTATGATAAATCAGTAATAGATAAAATGACAAAGGAAATCAGTGATTGGAAATTGTAAACATTAAAGAAAATACTGTAAACATTAAAATAAGTTGACAATTTAAATTAAAGTAAAATAAATTGAAGTTTCTAGGAAATTGTACTCATTTGTCTATTTGGTACAAGGAAATTGCATCCTATAGGGGTTGTATTTTTTGTATAATTTCTAAAAGGATCTACTCGATTTGACATTATATGAAATCTAGTTCGAATTTGTTCAAGAAAGTAACCAAAGTATACTTGGACACGTCAAACGAATTGGGATGGATCGAAATTTACGGGAACCAAACGTTGTACCTCTTTTTCCCGACAGCGATGGTGTTCGAGCCAATTTTCACTCTACTAATTTCACGAGATATTTGTCACCTTCCATCAGAGACATATACCAAGTAACTTTATACACTAGTTAGCATAGATATAAAGAATCACTTACTTGTGTTCCTGTAAATGATACAATACGATAGATTATAGTATAATAATATATAACGACCATTAAAACAAAAATGTAAGAAGTGAGTCAAGTAAAAGATACCCAAGTATACATGGACGGTGGAAGTAAAAATCTCCAACTAACGTATTAATGACTCGAAAACTTCGAGCTTATAAAGAAAGTAGGTAAGTTTCTTCAATGCACTTCCATTTTTATGTAAAAAAAAATATTGTACTTTTTTTTCCTAGTACAAATATAGCTAATTTCTCCATCACTTTTGGTTGTTGGACTTCATTTATTTCTTGTAGTAACTTTTTGTGAGGTTACCGATTGACTAAAAATGAATTCTCGTAATTAATAGTTTGGCAGAAGCCTAGTACTTGTGATCCGAATCTTGCATTTGTACTAAAAATTTGATCGATAATACATATAAATAATAGTTTATTTCAGAACCCAACAAATTAATAGTATTTGTCTACACGTTTGTTAAGTATAACTTTTTTTGGACTTCGATTCCAGTTCTTTTTAAATCTTCTAACAACCCAAAAATAATTTTTTTTATCACGTGTGAATTTATTTTAATATTTTTTCCTTTTAGTATGTTTGTTAAAAAAAGAAGTAACAGAGAGATCCGAAATCTATTATGTCATCTAACTAAAAATTTGCTGATATAAGCAATGATAAAAAGAACCAATCAGAATTCAAGCAATAAAAAAAATATGAATAGTTGGAATTTCGAAAGTGAAATAATTTAATTTTAATTGACATGCAATCATTATTTTTTTTAAAACTTACACTTGTGAAAAACTATCTAAAAAGTATAGTAGTTTGTAATTCAAGGTTTTTAAAAGATATAAAAAAATATTATTTTTTTAAAAACAATTTACACCATTTGAAAAACTATCTAAAAAGTATAGTAGTTTGTAATTCAAGGTTTTTAAAAGATATAAAAAAATATTATTTTTTTAAAAACAATTTACACCATTTGAAAAACTATCTAAAAAGTATAGTAGTTTGTAATTCAAGGTTTTTAAAAAATATAAAAAAATTACGATCAAAAGAAATATTTCTTTAAATAATTTTTTAAAAGAAAATATCATATAAATTTAGATAGACGGAGAGAACATTATTGAATTGTGTATTTATATTATTATATTATATTCCTATTCTCATTCTAAGTAGACTTGTATATGCTATTCTTATTTCTTCTTCTTTTTATAGCTTCCCAATCCAATGTTCGGTATCCATATTAGAGCCTGACTAAATTGGGACTCACGTTGAAAAGTCTCATATTAGAATTAAATGCTCCTAACAAAGACGACTTCATACCTAGAGGAACTCAAACTTACTCCAACTTCTGATGAAGGATGAATTACTACTTATATCTATTCTCTCCACCACAACCCTTATTGATTACTCCCTCCATCCCATTTTATATGTCATTCTTTTCTATAAATAGTTGCACCACACTACTTGTTAATTACCATATTTTGCCTATTATACCCGTGATAATTTAGTTAATTAATCTTGAAAATGTATTCATCATTTATTATAAAGTTGACTTAAGAAAACATTAAATAAAGATAGAAGGGTAAAGTTACATCATTCCTTAATGCAAGTGCAAAGTAAAAAGGTGACATATAAAATGGGACGGAGGGAGTACCATTCTTATTTTTATTTCTATTCGAACATTAAAGTCACGTGGATGTCACGTGTAAATATTGCCGGCTTGGTAGTTAAAAAGCCGCTGCTCCTACGGATAGTCCACAACCCAAAAAAAACAGATAAAAAATTTCCCATAATTTTCCTCGAAAAAATTCCCAAAAATCTCTTTCCTTTTCCTACCAAAATTATAATTTCCACACAATTCCCTTCATATTTTTTTCCCATTATTTCTGGACTGAATTAAATTTCTTATTAACAAACAAACAAAAATAGCCCTCTCAGTATTTTGCTTGGTCAATCTAAACAGCCACTCAACTTCTCCCATTTCCATTCTTTTTACAATCGTCACAGGTTAGTTTCCTTAACGACCATTTCAATATTTTTCTGCAAATCAATTGAAAAATCATTGCTATATTCAATTGGCCATTGATTTTTCAATTGTGTCAGAAAAAAAACGAAACCCTAGGTTCCCCGATCTTCGAAATTCATGTTTATATCAATATTCTCAATTGTAGGTATCTTTAAAGATTCAATTTTTCACTGTGGGGTTTCCTTAATTTGAGCTCTAGGGAGTTTTCTTGGGTTTTTATTAGTGGGGTTTGCTTAGTATTGTATAAAGTTTCAATCTTTAGATGGATCTTGATGTGTTGAAGAAAAGTTTGAACTTTGGTCAGAAGAAGAGGAAGTGGATAATTCTTCTTGGATTAGTTGGTTTATCTAGTTATGGTGCATATAGGGTGTATCATATGCCTTCTGTGGTGAAGAGAAGGAAGAGGGTTATGAGGCTGTTGGGAGCTTTTGTGTCAATGGCTGAAATGGTTTCTGATTCATCTGAAGCTGTTAGTGTTGTGTCTAAGGATTTAAAGGAGTTTTTACAGTCTGATTCTGATGAACTTCCTAGGAGTTTGAGGCAGTTATCTAAAATTGCAAGATCTGAAGAATTTACCAATTCTGTGGTTAAGGTTTCCCAGGCTCTAACAGTTGGGATTTTATGGGGATATGGGGGTGAAAGTAAGAGGGAGATTGAGGAGGTGGGCAGTTCAAGTATTGTTGATAAGGTTATGGATAGAATGATGAGTACTGTTGGGACTGGGTTTGTTTCTGTTGTTGTTGGTAGTTTTGCTAGGAACTTGGTTTTGGGTTTCTATCCGAACAGTGGGTCGGATGAGGGGTTGAATGGGAATTACCAATCTGGGGTCTCGTTAATGAAGTCGAATTCATCAGAGGTGCCAAGATGGGTAGATGTGGTTTGTGCTGATAGATGTAAACTAATGATTGCTGATTGTATCCAGACATTTGTGAGCACTGCTGTTGCTGTTTACCTTGATAAAACAATGCATATAAACGTATATGATGATTTGTTTTCTGGGTTGACCAATCCGAAGAATCAAGCTAATGTGAAGGACTTTCTAGTTTCTGTTTGTAATGGGGCTGTTGAAACACTAGTGAAGACGTCTCATCAAGTGATGACAGCTTCGGGATCTGATTCTGATTTGAATTTGAACTCTGCTTGTTCCATAGTTGATCAAAGTGAATATTTGACTCAAGCAAGTGAGGAGGCACTTGAGCAAGTGCCTCCAAGAAAGATTAAAGATATGAATCAACCGATTGATCTACAAAGTAATGGATGGCTGACTAGTGTGTCATCAACATTGGCAGTTCCAAGCAATAGGAGGTTTGTACTTGATGTGACTGGCAGGGTGACATTTGAAACCGTTAGATCCATCGTGGAGTTTTTCACTTGGAAGCTATCAGAGAACTTGAAAAGAAGTGTTAATGTCGTCCATGAAGAAGTTGTGGAGAGAGGGCTGGATGTCATTACTCATATCAATGCTAAATCTTATGTAATTCTTACAGTATGCCTCGCATTATTTTTACATATCCTTGGCAGTACTCAAGCTTTATTGCCTGCCTAAAAGTTAGTGATCTCCTTAGATCTATTATCTTAGAAGCTTATATGTTCTGTAGTCTGGGAAATATGTACATGCATTTGTCATACCTATTATTGAAAGGACAGTTTATCTACATTTTCCCTTCATGTTGTTGAATTTTCTAGAGAAGATTCTTTTATCTTCCAGATGCATATGTTCACTTGATATCGGAAGTATTTGTTCTTCATTATCTGATCAAATAATGTAAAATTGGAGATAAATGCTCATGTTACTCTCGAATTTTCTACTTTCATCAATATTGTTATTATTACTTTCCAGCTATTTTAATCTTCAATTTTAGTATTACTTGTCGTTTCCTTTGCTTCAGTTATCGTACTATTTGTTGTTGCTACTTTTCTCTTCTTCAGATTCTTTGCTACTGTATTTGCTTTTTATACTTGATTTTCTGGTATGCTCTACTTGAGCCTAAGGTCTATCGTAAACAACCTCTCTATCTTCACAAGGTAGGGCACTTGTGGGATTACACTGGTTATGTTGTTGTTTGTTATTGTAGTATTTTGGAGAGTACAATCTGGTCAATATATTTCTTTGTTGCTCCTGTGATACTATTTTGTGAAAAGCTGAAGTTGTTGCTCATTTTGTTAGCACCTATTACTACACATTAACCATCGTTTTCAAATTCAATGGAGGAGAATGATGCATGGACATTGGGTAGTTTGCCCTCACATCATATTAGTTATGAAGTGTGATTGCTTTTAGAGTTTTCTATATGGTTGGTGTTCTTGTGCTTGGTCTCAGGATATTTTTTCCCTTCCTTTTTTCTTTTCTTTGGAAAGGGAACTCAGTGTACGTTTACATTGTTGAAGATATCAAAATGTCGTTTTGCATGAATGACTTTAATTCTCATTGTTGTTTTACTATACTTTTCTTGATATCCTTCATTGTTTACTACTTTATTACTATCATGAAGCTACCGAGTTTAACCTTTGGAATCGAATAGATATTTATCTCTTATCTGCATCAAGACTTAGTACAGTCTGGTGACTCCTTAATAAGCAATTTGGATTGTGAAATTTCAAACATATGACACTGCCATTTCTTCCGTCATCTAGACGAGGAACTGATGGGCAGTCTTTTCTCGTTGATATAATTGTTCTGTTTGATGACAATCTGGAAAGATGTTATAATACATGATGTATACTTCTAGTTGCCTAATCTTTGGTCTTTGAGATGTTTGATACAATATTTTCTCCATAGCTAGAATTTGTAAAAATTGGAACCTTGTTCCTCGTGATTTTTGTACATGACATTATTGTTTAAATGTATATTATGGCTGCAGTTACCTCTCCTCTCTCTCTCTCTCTGTTGTCCGCCATGAAGCTAAACATAAGAATTGTCCAACCCATATAAGGGGTCTCGGGATCTTGTCCCGGTTTGATGTGGGACATTCTCATCAGGGACTTACTAGCTGTCCTTTTCTTATCTTGAAACTAACCAGTTAAAGTATGAAAAGAATGTGGACAACAAAATGTTAAAATTTATTTAACTACCTACCTTTTTGACTGGAGACAATGGTCTCCTCAAAGTCTTAGATAAGGAATTTTGGATATTTCCAACAAAGGTATGTGAGTTCACACTCACGAACATTAGTAACATAATTAAATCTTTTTCAGTAGGAAATTAAGTGCATGACCAAAGATTCTAGTTCATGCAAACTGCTTAAGTTTTTTGGATTTAGGGTATATATTATGTAGATAAGGAAAATGTTTTTCAAGAAAATAACTGGATTTCTTGCCTATTTTCTTGTGTTCGTTATCTTAGCAATTTTTTTTTTATTTATCTAAAATCATTTGTAATATATACTATGGGGATGAGGTAAGGGTGGCAAAATCAAACGCAGCCCGCACTACCCGTTTAAGTTTAGCCCGCCCAATGCCCATTCATTAGCTCAACCCATTTTCAATCCAGCCCATAAAAAAATGGATTGATATGTAACCCAAATTGGCTCATGAGCAATCTTGTCAAATATTTTTAAAAAACCTTTTCTTCAATTTGATATGTTATATATCAAATAATAATTTTACAGGTAGTAACAGAAAAAATAAAACAATTAAGCTTTGTAAAAATTGAGTTGGGTTGGATCTGACCCGTTATATAACCTATTACCTCGCCCATTTCGGCCCAACACATTTTGACCCAAGCAAATTTTGGTTGGATTGGATCTTGACCCGATTGTTATTTTAATCCATAGGGTATTCAATCCCCGAGCTTCCGGGCCTTGAGAACCGACTTCGGATTTGCCCCTTAGATAGTGAGTAGCAAAGAAGGGTAGGGTTTCAAGTTTAGGGTTTTCACTTCCACGTCCTAGCTCGTCGAAGCTACCGCCTATCGATTGAAATTTCCCTCCTCAGCCTGAGGCGGAACCGGCTCCCCCTGAACCATCATCGGAAGAGTAAGGAAGGAGAAGGGAATGGGAGTTTCTCGCCTCCTAAGAGTATAAAGAGGCGGAGTGTCACCCCAACAAACTAGACGCACGCATCAAGGCGTTTGCCAACGAGCGAGAGGTGATCACTCAAGAAAGGGGATTCATCCCCGGCAAATGCGATGCAGTGAAAGACGCTGCGGACTATGTGGCCGGTGACGCAAAAGATATGCCGGCAGCTAGCCAACTCCGCTTTCTAACAAGGTTAAGGCGTGTCCTAGAAAATGGAAACAATGAGACCTGGGCTCTCATCTAACGGGAAGTTCGAAGATGGAGACCCGGTTCGGCACGAAATCAGAAAGGTTTGGGGGACCGTTGGTCAAATAAAAGGGAAGGTCCTGCTTCCGGGACGGAACCACGCCCCTTCTCTTTCTCCGATCATAAAGCCCCTTGATCTCTTTATTTGTCTTTCATCCCCCCTGAATAAGTAAGACCCCGCTCTTTCGAATTCAAAAAAAAGTGGGGTAAAGCGCCGTTTGAAGTGGCGAAGGTCTATGCTACAGTAAGCAAAAAAGTAGGTTGAGGTTACGAAGTCACTTAGTCGAACTAGAAAACTATAAAGAAAGGGAGGCTAAGGTTATGAAGTATAAGGTCAGCTGGTTAAGGAAAGCTTAGGTTATAAAATCGCTTAGCCGTTAATTAATTGAAAAATGAAAGTAGTAGTGAGGCGTCAGTACGGAGTTGCGTCAGTCGTGGATATAGACTAGGCTAAGGCTTAGGTAAGGCTTGACTTCTATTTTCTTCACTTACACCTTACACTTCAGCTGAGTCTAACGAAGCTCAGGTGCGGAGCCTTCCACTGTGGACTGAGACTACGCAAAGGTAGAACACATGGAAACTTCGCTGACTTTATCATCAATCTTGATTTCGCTATGCTCCGGAATAGCAAAAATAAGTTCGTGTTCCGCTTTCAAAGTCAGTCGTCTGCAGTTCACACTTGGGCAAAAACGACTCTCCAGTGATTCCATTCCTTCTTACTATACTTCTGGGTCACTTAGATATCATTAATATAGAATATTAATGGATAGGATACCATACCATTAATATTCTATATTAATGGTTGGACTTGTCATTTTAAATTATTGAAATAGTAGACAGCTCATTGTCTTCAAGGTGACAAAAAAATAATCAAGATATCATAATTCGTATTAATTACAGTATCATAAGTTTGAATTCTGATAATCCTCTTATGATTATTTGTGTTTGACCAAGATTTTAAAAGTGTTTATCAGGAATCTGGTCAAAGGCTACATTATTTAAAAGAATTAAGTTTATTTTTTTAAAAAAAAATAAATCATATGACTTATTGCCCTATAATTAGTAGAAATAATAACACTTTTGTTCTTCAAACGGGCTTATTTTCCCCTTTTTGTCTTTCAAATTGGCTGATTTTTTATATTTGTCCTTAGCAATTGAATTAGCAAAGCAGGCAGCCGTGAAATATAACTTGTGATATATTATTATACGAAAAAATAAACGAATATCTCACCAAAAAATAAAAGAAGAGAAATAAAATAAGGACACCAAATAACAGAGAAACTAGGCAGAAGTATTTTTGTTCTTTGTATTATTACTACCAACTGCCGTTACAACCCCTTTCATAGTTAATTAATACTATACTAATTAAAAGGGGATTAAAAATTTAAAACACATAAAAAGTTCTTAATTAATTCATGGATGATTGTTATTAATAGTTTGAGTATAAATATAATCAAGATGAGCAACCAGTGTCCTCCTCTTCAAACACTCTTCTTCCTCCACTCCTTCACATTTTGCTTCTTTAATTTCAACTTTCCCTTCACTTGCAACCTGCACATAAAAATAATTAATCAACTTTGGTGTGACTTGCAGAATCCCGCGAACCATCAAGTTTTAAAATACAAGTTACATTCAAAGTCATTAGATCGAGGGCACATCTGTTTCAACATTACACGTAATTTACCTTTAATTTCAAATTATTTGAAAACAATTATACAAATCGATGTATCGATTAAGCATATCATGTCCATATAGTAGGACTGAATGTATAAAAATTATTTATACATTCAATATACATAAATGAAATTTCATTCACATCCATATTCTTCTATATATATAAAGAGAGAGATGAAATTATCATTTTTAGACTAGTTTTACGGTAGTTGTCAACATACGTATAAATACTACAACAACAACATATCCAATTTCGAAAAGATAGAGTGCACACAGATCTTACCTGAATCTTGGGGTCGAGCACAGAAAAAGAATCAGGACGAACAGCAAATGTGAGAGTATTGAAGCAAAGAAGAAATGCCACAACAAAAATAGTGCACAATTTTGACATGTTTTCCTATTTTCCCAACAACAAAGAAATTGAATTATTCTTATTTTTTGAATTATTTTAAAGATGGTACAATAGAATTTATAGGGGGGAAAAGGGGGATCATTTACTATAAATACGGTCAAGATTTTATTGGATTTTGATAATTAAATTGTTGACGTGTTGATAAGGACAAATTGATAACTAATTACCATAAATTGGTTAGAAAGTAGAGGTAGTAACCAAATTTGTACATGCCACAAATGTGTAGCTAATTAATGAATTCTAAATTAAGAAAATATTTGGTGATCACATATGAGTTTTCAATTTAATTCTT